CTAGCATCTAACCATTACGTCCACTACTAACACTCTATTCCTTTTTCATCATCCTCTGAATTGCAGTAGCCAATTAAGTGGTTTTCCTGCCACAATCCCTTTCCCTTGTAGTGTTATGTAATATTAAGAATGATCCTTTAAAAAACAAGAGCTGTGTTGGGCAGCGCCTGTGGCTCAGTGAGTGGGGCGGCAGCCCCATATACTGAGCATGGTGGGTTCAAATCTAGCCCTGGCCAAACTGCAACAGCTGGGTATTGTGGGTGCCTGTAGTCCCAGCTACTCGGAAGGCTGAGGCAAAGAGAATTGAGTGACACCACGGCACTTTACTGAGGGCAACATAGTGAGACTGTTTCTAAAAAAAAAACCCAAAACAAGGGCGTGTCATATTTGTGCTTAGAACTTTCTAGCAGCTTTCTGTCTCATTCACTGTAAAAACCTAATCCCTATCACAAATTACAAGGCCTACAATATTAGAGTCCCCCTATCTTCTTCCTTTGCTCCTCTCTGAATTATTCTGCTGTTCTTCCCCTTGTTGACTCCATTTCAGTCACACAGATTTCCTTGCTGTTCTTTGAACACATCAGGCATTGTCCCTTGTTAGGGTCTCTGATCTTGCTGAAATGCTCTTCCTTACTTCTATCCGAATCTTTACTCAAAAGTTGCTATTTCAAAAAGGTCTTTTCTCATCTATATAATCTGATTCCCTGATTTATTATTTTTCTTTAACATTTATCAATGTCATCCAATATACCATATATTTTATCTTATATTACTTATTGTCTGTTTTTCTTAGAATTTAAATTTGGCAGGATACCTTTTTGGTCTAGCATTATTATACTCCCCAGTGTCTACATCAATGCTTTACTTATTGTAAGCGTTCGATATTTTTAAATAAATGAATCACACTTAATCCATTATACCAAAATGAAATAAAATTATCAGCTCATTTATGGCAGAGGCTAAAAAATTTATTTCATACGAAATGTGAAGTACTTACTGTATTCTTGCTTAACAATTAACAAGCGTAAGGGGTTAAGAAAATGAGCACTCATACATGGCTGGTTGGGGTTTAATTTGGTTAACCACACTGGAGCACTGTGTAACAGTTTTTATTTTTTGGATTTCATTTTTTTTGTCAAGCAGCGTGGGTCAGGTTTGAACCCACCACTCCTGGCGCACAGAGCCAGTGCTCTAACCACTGAGCTATAGGCACTCAGCTACAGTTTTTAAAAGTCTATAGCAATAAACCTTAGGAATTCTGCTTGTTGGTATTAATCCTGCCAATATGAGTAGCTACAGAATTCTAGGTATAAGCATGTTTATTTCAGAATAATTCATAATTGTAAAAATTTGAAACATGAGATATTTAGGTAATAAGATAAAGTTATGGAATGCTATGTAGCTATTAAAAAGTTATGTTATATATTAATTTGTCATAGAAAGGTGTTCATTATTTATTAATTAAAATAGGTTGTGGCTCACGCCTGTAATTCTAACAATCTGGGAGGCCAGGGCAGTTGGATTTCCTGAGCTCAGGTGTTCAAGACCAGCCTGAGGCAGAATGAGACCTTATCTCTAAAAAAATAGTTTGGCGTTGTGGTGGGTGCCTATATTCCCAGCTTGGGAGGCTGAGGCAAGAGAATCACTTAAGCCCAAGAGTTTGAGTTTGCTGTGAGCTGTGATGCTACAGCACTCTACAGAGGGTGACATAGTAAGACTCTGTCTCAAAAAATAAATAAATAAAATAAAAGGTTACAAAGTAGTAACTGCCTCTCTTTTAAAAGTGTAAATGCATAAATAAAATCTGGAAGTACCAGGGTGGTCATGACTGTTATCTCTGGGTTGTGAGATGATTTGTTTGAAAGAATTATTATTCTAAAAGCAGAGTATAAATGTCTTAACTCAATAACTAAGAAAATGACATGAAGGCTACATTAACCAGTTTGATGAGAGTATTTTGAAATGTATATGAAAACACTACATTGTACCCTGTGATTGCATTAATGTACATAGCTATGAAAAAAAAGAATTATTATTCTTATGCTTATCTTTTTAAAAAAAAATTTACTTCAATAAAGAGCTAATATGAAGTAGCAAACTCTCCTAGACTGCTCACTTTATCTCTCTTGCTTTGTTTTTGTCTTAGTAGTTATCGCTGTCTTAACATATTACGAGTACTTTTTACTTATATTTGTAAGTATCCTACCCCCACCACCCCATCCCCATTAGAAAGAAAACTTTTTAAGGGCAAGGACTTTGTTTTCTTCACTGCTGTATCCTAGAAGTCTAGGAAAGTCTCTAGAATATAGTAGGTGCCATAAATATGTGTTGAATAAATATACAAATATACATACATTGGTTTGTTTGTTTGTTTGTTTGTTTTTGAGACAGAGCCTCAAGCTGTTACCCTGGGTAGAGTGTCATGGCATCACAGCTCACAGCAACCTCCAACTCCTGGGCTCAAGAGATTGTCCTGCCTCTGCCACAGGCACCCGCCACAATGCCTGGCTATTTTTGTTTGCAGCCATCATTGTTGTTTGGCAGGTCTGGGCTGGATTCGAACCTGCCACCTCAGGTGTATGTGGCTGGCACCTTAGCAGCTTGAGCCACAGGCTCCGAGCTCATACATTGTTTTTGTTATAAGAACATTATTATAAATAAAATTTTGAAAAATTGCCACTAAAAATCAATGGTATATAGAAAATGAATGCAACGGCTCGGCGCCTGTGGCTCAAGCGGCTAAGGCGCCAGCCATATACACCTAGGGTGGCGAGTTCGAATCCCCAGCCCGGGCCCGCCAAACAACAATGATGGCTGCAACCAAAAAATGGCCAGGCGTTGTGGCAGGCGCCTGTGGTCCCAGCTACTTGGGAGGCTAAGGCAGGAGACTCGCTTGAGCCCAGGAGTTGGAGGTTGCTGTGAGCGTGATGCCTTGGCACTCTACCCAGGGGGATAGCTTGAGGCTCCGTCTCAAAAAAAAAAAAAAAAAAAAAAGAAAATGAATGCTACATTTTAGAGCATGGAATTTTACTATAAGCAGGAATTTGTTGTAGATAAAGAATTTTAATGAGATTTTCTCTCTCATTTTTCAAGGTTTCTAAATATTCTTTACAGAAGAAAGTGAGTGAAATGGTAAGGCAATTACAAAATGTATATTTTCCCCACTTGGATTAGTAACATAAAGTACTTAGCATTTCTGTGAATGTAAATGTGATGTTTATAATTTAAAAAGGAGTAGTTGGATTGAATGTTGCTATCCCCTTTAAAGGCCTGACTGAATAATTTCAAATATTGCATACATGAATTATTTCACAAACTTACGTCCAGATTATATAGTGCTTATACAGGTTGACCATCCCCAATTCAAGAATTCAGAATTCAAAATGCTCTAAAATTGGAAACTTTTTGAGTGCCAACATGATACCCAAAGGAAATGCTCATTGGAATATTTTGCATTTCAAATTTTCTGATTTGAAACTGGTATAAAGCAAATATTCCAGAATCCAGGGGAAAAAAACCCCCAAATCTGAGACACTTCTGGCCCAGCATTCCAGAACATATGTCTGGGTGTGGTGGCTTGTGCCTGTAATCTCAACACTTTGGGAGACTGATGTTGGAGGGTTGCTTGAGGCTAGGAGTTAAGAGACCAGCCTGAGCAACATAGCAAGAAAGACAGAAAAACACCAAACTTTAAAATCTCTTGATGATATCTTTTCTTGGTACTTACGCAAATATGTAAAAATTTGGGAAAAATGGAAATATATGAAGTGGTATTTGGGACATGGCATTCAACCTTTATTGTTCTATGCTTGTGATAAAGTACTATGTAGTACACTTGGGATGTGGTATTGCTCCTTTATTCAACAAGTGTTTATTGTGCATTCCTCTTTTATAGTGTATTAAAAGTTTTGTTTTTATAGCATAACATTTTATGGAAATTTACCTTGATATCTTTCTAGCCTTCTTTGATTCAGAAAGATTTTTTTTCTGTGTTTTTGATTGAGCAAAAATTCTCCTATGTCTGCTTAAATCTTCAGAGGGCTTTTTGGGTGGGTTTATGCTATTCATTTTTTATTCTTTAGAGCAATCTGTAAAGCAAGTAACATTATTTTTTGAGTCAGGCTTATATATACAGTATATGAGAAATAAGAAAGGAGACATCATTCCTATGACATTACATACAGTATTTTGCTTCTTAAAATTGTTTTGGTATGTTAGAAAATAAAAGCCATAGAAAGATTGATAAGCTTGATTGAATAAAAGATGTGAAAATTCTGTTACTATTCATCTGGAAAGAATAAAAATAATATTGTCCATTTTAAACTATGATTTTAATTAAGACTCTGAAAAACTAGATTCCAGTTTAGCTTTAAGTACCATGACATTTGTACTGAAAGTCATCTTCAACGCTACAATGGTTTTACACAAAATATAGTGAAATTGAATAATGTACCCTTTGACCTGGGAGATAAGGCTACAAGTTATAGATCAAAGACAACATAAAATGCATTTTATTTTATTCCACTTTAAAATTTCATCAAACAAATGCTTATAATTTTAAAGAACATGGAAACTAGGAAAACTTAGTTTTTAGTCACTTTTGAGCTTTTTCTTATTGTGAATTACAACCTTTATACCTATTAAAATGGTATTTGAGTTATAGTCATAATATTTTTTTCTGACAGGTCAAAGCATTACATCACTTTTCATTAAAATAGTTTTATATATTAAAACATTTAATATTATAATTTGTGCTTTTTTTTTTTACCGTAAAATAAATTTGTTGGTGGTAAAATGTCATTTATTCCCGATACTTGATGTTGCAAACTTTAGGGTCTTTGAGATACCAGGATCCTTATATGTAACTGGCATAAACCCCATTATTTGAGTTCATTTCATCACTTTTCATTAAAATAGTTTTATATATTAAAACATTTAATATTATAATTTGTGTTTTTTTTTTTTACCGTAAAATAAATTTGTTGGTGGTAAAATGTCATTTATTCCCGATACTTGATGTTGCAAACTTTAGGGTCTTTGAGATATGCAGGATCCTTATATGTAATTGGCATAAACCCCATTATTTGAGCTCTTTTAATTGCTTTTGTGATTTCTTTCTGTTTCTTCCCACAAAGACCTGTTATATGTTTTCCATAAATGCATCCAGTAAATGGAGAAATAAACTGGGACAAAAGCTGTACATTCTTATAATCTACACATTTTCCACACAAGATACATTTCTTAAGAGGCTCCTTATAAGGATTTTCCATTGCAACAGGCCGTTTATACTGTGAACAACCTCTGCTCCACAGCACTGAGTGAGTGGCAGGATGCATGAAACAGACAGAAGCCGTTACCAAGCTTGTCAACTTTTTCCTCCTTAGAATGCTGCATACCATAGCTGCCATGATTCCCCTCCTCCTCTTCCTTTTGTTACAAATTCAATTTTTTTTT